TTCTTATCGGTCAGATAATAGAGAATGTAAGGTTGCAGAAATCTAGCCAGCTGGCTAGATCAGCTCAGGTCTCTGTTGCTACGGCAGCACATCCCAACCTCTCTGTCTGCCTAATCCTGCTTCCTTTACTTTTCTTTGGAGCATTTCTGGAATATTCTCCAACAAATTTATTATGTGTGAATTTTCATCAGAGTCTTTTGCCTGGGGATCCTACCTAAGACACCACTGAAGCACTCCATAGGAGTATGTTGGATTTACACACCTGCCAAGCTCAAAGGGCTTAGAGCTGCTTGCTCATCAGATACCAGCCAAGGAAGTTCAATTTTGCTTCTTGCCAGTTACTTTCTCCATCTTCCACTTTTATGAACTTAGAATTAGCAAACTGGGGTAATGTAGTTCAGGCAGCAAGAGAGAAAAAAATGATGATTCCCTCCTTTCCCTCTATAGGCAACCAACCTAAAGCAGACCAGAATTGGGAAAAGGAGAATTTTTTATTTTAAATGAACTTAGATGATTCAAACATTACACTGGGATAAATATATAAATTACTAAAGTGATGCTATTTGGAAGCCAAATTGGCCCAAATACTTTTCAGTATTTTAAGAGTGATGACACAGCCAAGTGTTCTGCCTTAGTTCTCATAACAGGGGCAGAAACAGACTCTCAGAGCAAGAAAAAGGACTACAGTGTTGCATCAGTGTCCATCTTGTGCCAAGCAGTGATGCACACAGTTCCACTGGAAGTAGCCCGAACTGAAGTGCTGATGGAGTGTGTGCAAAGGACTCTAATCTTCCCAAGGACATTGATCTTTGTGCACTTCACTTTCTCCCAGTCCGGTATTGAAAATGGTAAGTTAAAATGTTTTTCAAAGTTCTTAATCAATGAAAGAAAACCTGCCACTTTTATAGCTGGAGAGAGAGAGGGAGAGGGAAAAGGAAAAGAAAAGCGAAAGGGAGAGAAATAGAGAAGACAAATAAATTTTAAGCCATACTGTGGAGATGAGGAACAGGCTTTGGAGGCAATGCTGTTGAGAATGAAACTTTTACTGTGAAACTTTTACTGTGAAAATCCTTCACAGAAAGCTCTTTGCTTCTGTGTAATATAATATTGTACAGGTTTGGAGAACTTTAACTGTCCTTGTAGTTTGCATGATTTATTTCTAGAACCTACTGAAAATGTATAAAATATTTATTGAGAACCCACAAGGCAAGGAACTGCTGTAGTGCTGTTGTTAGGCACCTCCAAATGTTTCATAGGGATTTGCTGACTGTAAAGGCAGGAACTTGACTTAGTCTCATACTTCTGAGACTTAGATTATAGTTCTCAAAGGCACATGGAATTAAAGTTAATCACTGATACTTGTAGAGCACTGTATGACTCTCTTATACACAAACTAATGCTCTTTTACTTACATTTTGGGTTTATAATTCTAGAATTAAATAATACTGATCAGTTCAGAGACTATTAGCCACATTATTGACTGTAGCTTCACAAATTTTGAGTTCTGAAAATGTGTAATTTTTCTCATTTCACCAATTCTATCTTCTTCCTGCCTCTGCTAAGATGGCACTTAGTTCCTATGAACATGGAAGTCTAGAGAATGAACAGCAATTTTCACAGTATTAGTACTATGATACTTGAATAAAAATAGAAAATTAAGTAATAAGATATTTTAAACTAAATGCTGAGAGTCATTTCAAACATCTCCATTATCCATGTACTTTATTCAGGAAAAATGTCTTTCTTTGTGAAGAAAAAAATCCTGTTTTTCTTCCAAGTAATTTCACTGCTATTTACTGATACATGAGAAGGAATTAAGAGAAAAATATGTGAAATCTTGATCATAGCAAATAGGTAAAAAACCTAAATTACTAGCATATTGTTTCAGGATCTCTTACTGTTAAATTTATGCATTCAAGATCCTGAAACCCTGTCAGAAGAGTCAATCTCCAATAGATTATTTGCTGATTTTGTTAACCATTGTATTCTAACCTCATTTCAGGTGTGAATAAATAGATCTGAGTAAGAGATCATCTATCTCCTAAACATAATTCTGCTTTCATACATTATGCTGGTTTTATAAAAAAAACGGTTGAAAAGTTAAAGAAATACTACAGGTGTCGAATAAAAAGCACAGACCTATTTGCAATTCACAATTTGGCTCTGTTCCCAGTTTGTGTTACAAGTGACTTAGTGGAAAAACTTGTATTCATTCTCTAGATCTTTTCTGGAGAAGGAAAGGGGAATAAAGGCAATGTTTTTCCTCTGGAGAATTCTCACCATGCTCCACACTGACTCTCTAGGTCTATCAAATATACGTTTTTGACCTTTTAAGGCTGAGGCATTTCTGTGATTGCAAACAAACTTAGAGGATGAGTTTATTTACTGACTTCTTATCATGTAGTTGTTGATTATCATAGTAAGTGCACAATGTTCACTTGTGTCTGTGTATATAAAGGTTTGTACATTCAGAGTTTTAAATGATGGGCAACTGAAAACATGTTTAAGTAAAGTTAACAGAATTCACATTAATAAAATTGACATCTTAGCTCATAGGCCTGCAGAAACCAGGCTTCAATGAACAGTATATCCTTAGCACTGAGGAAGGAAATGAGAAACAAGAAAATCGCTCATTGAGTATGTTACCAGCTTTACCAAGATAAAGTATTTTGCACCTTTACAAATAGTAATCTTCATAGGTTTTTAAGGTTTTATAATACATTATCACAGTTTTCTCATACAACATTTACTTTTTGAAAAATTAAGGCTAATATACCAAATAATCCTACAGAAACAGTAATAGCTTCTACTTTAGGGATGGCTGACTTAAACTTCACAAAGAAATTCAAAATACCTTTGAGAAATTCTCCATTTTTTAAACAATTTGAAGTTTTAGAATTGCATTAAGTACATTAATAGGGAAGAAAAATATGAGAAAATGCAAAATTTAAGACTCTAACATGAATATTAATGCAACTGCACTGCTTCCAAAGAAAGCCTGATTATCAGATCTCAAAGAGTCAGTGTCAGTGTCAAGTAGCAGTAGCGATGCTACTAGTTCTGACCACATACATTTCAATTGCTTTGTATAATTTACAGATGTACCTGAAATATTTTTTAAGTGATGTCCAGAATTTTTTCCTGTTTTATTATTGTTTTCCACAATTTTGCAAATGTATTTGGGTTAAAAGGAAAGAAACAGAGTCCATCATTCTAGTTTTGAAGATGCTCTTGCAATATTATGATTTCATTTTTCCACAATGACATTAATTGTTCTATACTAACTCCATTCCAATTGTAAGTGTAAAATTGCACATATATTTTAAAGGACTTTGACAAGTATAACATGTCAAGACAATAAAATTCTTTCTGGGAGTATTAAAAATGTAGCTGTATCTGTTGTTTCAAGTGAATTTAAAATGTGTGAAATACCTCAGTGATTTTTTTCAAATAAATTAATGTTTTCAAATTATATTTATAAGGCACTCATTTTATGAATTTCATAAATATATCTACATATTTACATCTTCTTATTTAAACATAGATATGGTATCACTTCATAATGGAGTTCTCATCTGGCTAGCTATCAATACTTAGGTGACCTATGGAAATAATTTCATATTTTCAGACATATTCTGTACCTGAAAAATGAATGGATTAGGCTAAACACTTATATGGTCCTTTCAGGAGTTAAGTCCTGGAGTGAGAAGATCCCTTCATTTAGTTGTGAGTCAGCCAATGAAAGGCAATCTTACTTAGGTATTCTATCTGTGTGATTTCAAGTGATCTGATTTGCCGAACCCTTTACTTGTCAAATGAATATGAAGAGATATTACAGATGCACATTACTAATGTTTCAGTCTTCCACTGACAGCTTTGGAATTATGTAGACATGTTTCTACATTTCTCAATTAATTTCCCTTATTCTTTTCTCATCTTAGGTAGCACACAAAATTGAAATAAAGAAAAGTGTAAAAATAATTTTCTCCCTAGCAGCAGAATATTATAAAACTGATGATTTTTAAGAGTATGTCACATAACTCTAATCTAGTATTTCTTTGCTTCTTTTTCCTTTCTTCTCATCGATTCTCTCACCCTGGCAGGAGATCTTACAACTTTTTACTGGTTCTATAATCCTATCACATGTTTCATAAATTACTCTGTAAAACTACTTGTACAGTTGGTCCAAACTCTGTGTACATACAACTTCCTAGGTATTTCATGTTAGTACTAACAAATGAAGACCATCACAGAATTAAATGTAGGGCTCTAAACTAAAGATAAAACTATTCCAAACAAAACTGCATTCCTTAATCCAAATTCAAACTTTAAGTAAATTTGAAATTACTAATTTTCAATAGTTTTTATCCTGTGTTTCCTTTATCTCCTATTTCTCTACATGAGGATATTTCAATACCAACATTTTTTTTAAAATAGAAGAAATATAGAGCATCACACAGGGAATGTACTGATTGGTTGAGAACACTTAAGAGTTTTTGTAAGTAGGGTCCAAAGCAAGTAATATGGGCTGTTATACACAGTTAACCACAAATCTTCCCTAGTCAAAGTTCTTCATAAATGAAATTGTGAAAAGGAAGAGCATTACCTATCTAGCCATTAATGAAATATTTACTTATATTAAATTTTATTCTTTACTATGAAGAATATTTGTTCTCACTTCCAATATAAATCATGAAGACACTTGAGAAACTTTTTTTTGGAAATAAAGAATAAAATGTTACAAAAATAAATTCAAGACAGAGGTATGTGAACATTAAAGTATATAAAGCATAGTACTGAATTATATTCAGCTATAACCTTTCTTTAAAAACAACAGCAAAGGGAACTCGACATGGATATACTATACTAAGCTATCATTACCAATTTTGAGTTTACTACACTGTTTTCATTAAAGTAGCATACTGTATTAATTTGCTAATGCTGCTCTAAGAAAATTCCACAGACTAGGTGATGTAAACAACAAAAATATATTTACTCACAGTTTTGGAGGCTGGAAGTTCAAGATCAAGGGGTCAGTGGGTGTGGTTTCTCCTCAGGCTGCTCCCTTTGGCTTGCAGATGGCTACCCTGCAGTACCCTCACTGGGCCTTTCCTCCATGTGTCCATGCCATACATCCTGGCCTCTCTTCCTCTTCCTGTAAGGATACCAAGCCAGAATTAGGGCT